AAAAGGTGTGAACGATTTAGATATCTTGGGTCCGTTGTCCAAAGCGATGGTGATATAGATGGGGATGTTAATAGTAGAATTCAAGTTGGTTGGTTGAAGTGGAGGAATGCTTCGGGCCTTTTGTGTGATAGAAAAGTACCGCTAAGACTGAAAGGAAAATTTTATAAGATGGTGGTGAGACCTGCAATGCTCTATGGCGCTGAATGTTGGCCTTTAAAAGAGAAGCATAATAATAAGTTAAGTGTTGCCGAGATGAGAATGATTAGGTGGATGAGTGGCTTTACACTTAGAGACAAAATGCGGAATGAATATATTCGTGATAGGGTTGGTGTAGCTCCTGTGACAGACAAAATTAGAGAAAGTCGTCTTAGATGGTTTGGTCATATTAAACGTCGACCATTAGATGATCCGATTAGGGGAGTAGATGTTTTAAATTTGACTTGTGTTAAGAAAGGCAGAGGTAGACCTAGGAAGACTTGGGCTTATTGTATTAAAAATGATCTTAATTTACTAGAACTTAATGAAAATATGACACTAAATAGGACGCAATGGAGAAAAAGGATTCATGTAGCCGACCCCACGTAGTGGGATTAAGGCTTTGTTGTTGTTGTTGTTGTTGTTGATGCTAGAAGAGCCAACAAACCCCTCAATTCTAGACTAAGAGGTTTAAAAAATGATCTGAATTCCCTCTTACAGTATTTTGCATCACCACATATATCTTTTTAGGATGTAAGGGTATCCATCTTAAAAATGAAAGACAAGAACAAAAGATCATCTTGAAGTCATTGACTCATAATTGCACAAGGAGAAGCCGATACAGCATATCAATGCAAACATCAAAAAGGTCTAAACAAACTAGAAGAAGTGGCTACAAGCCTTATAAAGTAGATGACTCTACAAACGATATAAACCTAAAATACGGATAACATTTGTTGTTCCTTGTCAATGACACCCAACAGGAGGGCAATGTCCCTGAAGAAGAGTATGTGGTAGAAAAATAAAAATATAACAAGTATTTTAATTAAGTTAATGATGATACAACTATAATGTGAAGAAACTGATTAAATAAGAAAAAAAAAGGAGTTTTTAAAAAATAGTTACAAGTTTATAATTATAGACCTCTCTCATTAACCAAGCATCAAAAATGTAATATTGCATAGGTGTAATATGGTACCTATGTGGACTTAACCTTTGACTTCACAGAATTGTCTCTTTCATCTCTCCCAAAAGCAACCTCGTCCAAGGTTTGCCCATAACGTTTATAACTTCCACCAGATGCAACAAATCCAGGACAAGGTCTGAAGGCCTTGATGGGCCACCAGTCGAAGCCACGAATAGTTGCTATACCTCCTTGTATCCTCCCCTCGCCATTGCATCCCTTCTCAATCTCCTTTCTTCCACAAGCCTTGCAACCCCTGAGCATAGGAATTTGTAGTTCAAACCTTTTAAGCTACCAATATGGTTTGCCCAAACTCATTATGTCTGGATGCGGGCATTACTCCGATTTTATGAGCTTATCATATAAATGTATCAAGAAAAATAAAAAGTGACTCAAAAGCAATTCAATAAATCAAATGCAATGTGATGACGCTGATGCATAGTATTGCCAACAAAAGATAGTATGAGTAAAAGTAGAATTTTAAGACTTTATACAGCATGAATTGTATCAGCATGAAGCATGTCAAGAAAGATGAGAATATTGGGTTTAATCTTATATGGAATAATGGAAAAATATAATGGAATGGAAATATATATGATATCTCTTCATCCATCGACAAAAAGTATTTAACCTTAAAATAAATTTGGCCACTAACATATTAAGTCCAACAATGGCCTCCACTTAATAAGTCTTCAACCAAGCATTAAAGCCAAAATTTCAGTTGGGCTCGAGTGGATTCAATGGTTTGCGACTCTGATGGGTCTATGGTGTCATTTATAATGGTCCAGCTAGAATCAAGCACATGTAAGTCACATGGAAGTTTCAAGTGGTTATGTGAGCTCTTGAGCACAATAATTTAATATGTTGAAAAAGATTACGTCAGAGAGAATCATGGCAGGTATTAGAGTTCTCAAGGGAGATCGTTAAGTTGCATGAAAGTACTGAGCTTAGTCCAACATCAAATAACTGAAATATCTATTCATAAAAAAATTGCCAAGTGCTGACCCTATCCAATGGCCTTAAGTTTTATGTTAAAATCAGTTTTATCATTCGCAATAACGAATATATCTTTGTCAATACTTTGATTCACACCGCTAACAAAGCACATTATTTAGAATTGGGCATAAGCTCAAAAAACTTCTGAACATGGAACTTTTCCCATTCTCCTAACAACAAGCAGCCAGCTAGTGCATATTGACAATGACACAGGTTAGTAAACTGTGCAAAATTTCAACATACATTCTCGTAAATTTCTAACATCAAAGAAAAAGACCATGAATCCCTCTAGGAATTGACAGTGAATAAAAAGCACATTTATGACCCAAAACAAAAAATTTCTTGAACATAGGACTTGCCTAGATGTTCAGTACAAGATATGCTCATTTGAAGTAGTATATATGTTTCTTCTTCATATATTATAATGATTCATTGATCTCTGGTAATTCCAAGAGTAGAATGTGAAAAAAATGTGCCTTAAAGTGGATAGAATGTTTTTATTACTGACATTATTAGTATATAATAATGCTAACAACAAATTTGACGCACCCAAAGTGATGTGGTACATCATGCTGAGTTCAAGGTGAGGCCCACAACCATAGGAGGACCAATGATAACGCCCACAATCAAAGTGGGTGGTCACAAAATGGGCACCCAAGCACAAGAGGTAAAGCTAAGGTGGGGCTCACAAGTTCCAAGGCTGGAATTACTACTAGATCCCAATCCAAGAGAACCATTTTACAATCAGGAGATCCAATTAGTAATATCCAAGCAAAATGAAAAGCATTAAGATAGACTTAAGGATATTTTTCTATTATGTCATTAATATTTGTATTTATTCCATATTTTAATGTATGTGTAAGTGTTGGTTAATGCTTTTAAGACTTTATTTCATGTAATTGTAATCATAAATTAATATTTTTGCTTATGTTTCATGTTTCATGTTTAGATGGTGGTCAACGCCAATCAAGGGGAAGGAGGGCATCCAAGGAATGAAGTTAGAGTGGCATTATGTTGACTAAGAGTGCGTTTGGGGCAGCTTATAAGTGCGGGTGGCATTTTGAAAATGCCACATTGCCGTTTGGTTCATGCATTTAAGAAGATTATTGTGAAACGCAGTTTTATAATCCTTAATAGACTGAGCCACGGAATCAACCCTGCGGGGGACTTGGATGTGCGTTCTCCGAGTTATTTCCTCTCGTGCCCTTCCTTCGGGTGTCCATCTCCTCCCTCGCTCAATCTTCGTGGCTTCGCAGCAACAAAGCTTAACCCTAATCTGAATTCCAGCTCTTGCGATATGGCCGAAAAACGAACCATTACCGATCTCGGAGGCGGTAGTGAAGTTAATCACCACGAGATTCTTGCCGTCAGAGCAAGCTTGGGCTTGGTTCGACTATCTCGACAAGGAGATCCCGTGGTCCCGTGGACGAGGCCATTGCCATTGATCCACATCTTTGGAAGGTCTTGCCTCCAGGTTACTTCGCTTCATAACATTTTATATTTACTTCGATGCTCTCTCATGCCGGTCCACATTCCTTCTTTTCCTCTTTCTATCGAATCATTAAACACTCCTCAAATTGATATATTTGCGTGAACTGGTGAATGATTGGTGATAGTAGTGTTGTTATGCTATTTCTGATGGACAAGAGGAATATCCTGCATTTCGAGGTTTAGGGTGTAATGGTTTATGTGAGATGGCATTGGTTGGACTTTTATCAATTAGAAACAGTTAATTGAAGTAGATTTCTTGTTTTTCATAAAAAAGATTCTAAAATATTATATAATTTATGAAGTGCTGGGCAGCAGTATTCCGCAGATTTGTGTTCACAGCTTCTGGTGTTCTGCATGTTTTCTTTTCCTAACCAGACGATAAGTGCTAACACTTGTGAAAAAATCTCCCAGTTTCAGTGCTTGCGGGTTTTAATTGGCTCCAAGCACTGCTAATGTTCTTTAACTGTTGTTTAACTGATGTTTCACAAGAATTTTCATAAATTGTACTTCAAATTGAAATAATTATAATCAGTAATGTAATTAGTAATGCAAGTAAATATTTGAAGCGGGAAAGTTTACCTTATTGTCAATCAAAATTTGCACGCTGTAAGAGCTGTAGATAAAAATTATGAAAGATGGTAGTGCTTATGTCATAAGAATTCCAAAACACAAGGACACTTTTTTGGTAGAGAGCGATTCAATATTTCTACTTTGATGTCAAGTTGAGAAACTGCATATTATTACAGGATTTAAGATGTTGAATCAACATATCCTTAGAAGTATATAAGCAAAATGCTACTTTTATAAGAAATCCTTGTTCTTTTTTGTGTAGTTGACTCCATTGAAGATAGAGTTCAAGAATTATTAAAAAGTAATGAAGCTAACCTCAATGCTTGGGTGCTGCTTATAGCAGGTCGAGAATACCTCATCAGTAAGTGTTGATTCTCCAGTATTCTTGAATTGTTCCTTAGTTTAACTTTGAGTATTTCTGATGCAATAAGGAACCATTGTGATGTTTATTTAATTCAAATATGTGAACCCATGTGCCTTTAATTATTGAAAAGTTAGGTCATGAACGAGGTTGTATTTTATTTTTTTTAAATTTTAATTACCTCATTACCACAATTATTTGTCTGAATTATCAATATATCCTCATGGAAATTGAATTTATCTAATTTTTAGGTTCCTTGATATTCACTCTTAAGTGAGGTGCATAGTTTTTTTTTTGTACAGTTATGAAGTGATTTTTTTAGTTCTAAAATTTTAAATATATAGTCATGACAGTTCTGTTGCAAACAACACAACCGCACAATGGCAGAATGATCATTTATCCAGAAACAACTACAAATCAGCTATTTTCCAAACGCACAAACCAAACAGCTAGCCAACTTATCTAGATCAGGGACAAATGGTCATTTATCCAGAAACAGCTGCAAATCAGTTGTTTTCCAAAGCACAAACCAAACAGCTAGCTAGCTTATCTGGATTAGCTGCTGATCAGCAGCTTATCTGAATCAGTTGCTGATTTGGATAAGTTCGATAAGTTGCAGCTGCCCCAAATAGACCCTAAGTTAAAAGCAACTCTAACCACTCAAACTTTTCTCTTGTTTTGGTATTTGATTTTTGAAGTGAAGAGTTGGGGTTCTTGATAAAAAAATGCTTTATATGAGACCCTAAATTTTTGAAGTAAATGGGAATTGAGATTGAGATGAAAATTCAGAAATTTTGAGATGAAGACTCACATGATGGAGAAGCTTAGTGGCTTATTCAAAGGGAATGGTTCGAGGATCATTACCCACCATTACATTTTGATGAGTTCGGATTTATTTGTTTTTTTTTGTTTGTTCATTTTCTTTCCATTTTTATCTCACTTAAATCTCTTCTTAATCCCCTTTATAATGGTTGGCCTGAATCCAAAGTAATCCTACATAATTAGGATTTTGGCTCCATTAGAATGACCTAACCTTTATAAAAAAATTCTAAGATTCTCAAAAGTGATCTGCATCCCTTATACATTAATTTACTATAAATTTTATCCTTTTATTTGTGTTTTTGTTCAACCTAAAGTGCAATAAAAAAATCAATTTTTTATTTATGTGCAGTTTTTAGTCTCTATTCTTCCATTTTTTAATAATCAATAATTTCATAAATCATAAAAAATTTCAAAAATCAGCTTTGAGATAGGAAGCTTGAACTATGTAATTTCCTACGGTATTTTGATATATGCAGTAAAGTTATAGAAGTTAATCAATCATGCCCAAATCTGACCTAGTTGACATTTCTTACTCAACTACCCTACCAAATCGTTTCCAAACACTAACAGTCACTCAAAATCATTCTTAAACACAATTTTATACATTTTCCTAGAGTCTCATTTGATGATTTCTCCAGATACATCAAATTTAGTATCAGAGCACAAATTAAAGGAGGTTCAACATAGATTTGGTGGGAGACTTCAACTAGTTCACAATTTCAATAAGGGAGCAAGGATAAAATGTTCGCAAATGATGAAATTTGAATCTTAATAAGAATCGTGGTAGGAAAAAACATTGGAGGAGCATCAAAAAATGCTCAAAAGTTTGGCAATAAGATATAATGCTTTGAAAGGTTAATAAGAGAATCATTTGTAAACATATTATTATTGAATTTTGCTATTTATATTTGGCCATTTATATTATCATCATAATTCTCATTAGTTGTTATTTTAAATATATAATCTCTCTTTTTAATGGTATGACACATTCACATAATGATAACTCAACTCAATTCTTATAAAAAATGAGATTATTTGATCAAAAAATAAATTTAGTAATGATATGAAAGAGATGAGGAATTAACTAAATGATTTAAAGACCCAAATTCTAAATCATTGTGAGCCAAATGAAAATAACATGAATTTTAAACTATATGAAACAAACATTAAAGTCATAATTAAAGTTGACAGTTACCAACATCTTAACTCAAAAATCTCCATCAGGATTTTCTAATGGTCTTCCACTAAACTTCAATTATTTGATATTAACTCCACATGGCCAACATGCTTATATGATTATGTCAATAATAATACTAGTTAAGAAATACTTTCAAGTTAGCTCATTTGCAATAAGTAAAGGACTTTTTTATCTGTAGTAACATCTGATAAAGTACTAATATCTACAGACACTCCACCAATTACATGTCATAATAACTCTTCAGAGGAATAATCTTTAGGGTTCGGTGGAAATGATGTGGCATATAATGCTGACTTCAAGGTAGGGCCTACAATCTCACGATATGAACACAATGTGGGGCCCACAAGCACTAGGATGGGACATACTACCAAAGCCCGATCTAAGAGAATTGTTTCACATTCAAGAGGTATATTTACTAAGATCCAAGCCAAATAGAATGCATAAATATAAACTTGAAGACATTTCTCTATTATATCATCAGAATTTATGTTTACTTCATATTGTCATGTGTATGTGCAAGTATGTATTTGTGACTTTATGACTTTATTACATGTAAGTATTGACCATAAGTCAGCATTTTTGGTTGTCATGTTTCATGCCTAGGTGGAAGTCAAAGTCAATTAAGAGGAAGAGGAGCCGTCTAGGTACAAAAGTTAGAGTGGCATTATGTTGACCAAGTCTAAGAGCTACTCTAACCGCCCCAACTTATCCCTCCTTCTAATACTTTATCTATGAAGTGAAGAGTTGTCTTTTCATAAAAAAATGCTTTTATAAGAGCCTAAAATTTTGAAGTAAATGGGAGTTGATGCTATGAAAAAAATTCTAAAAATTTGAGAGAAATACTCAAATGGTGGATGGGTTTGAAGACTTCTTCAAGGAGAATGGTTTAGTGATCGATACGCACCACTAAACTTTAATGAGTTTGGTGATTTAATTTAATTTTTTTGTTTGATTTTTTATGTGATTTCTTTTAGTGAAGCATTTATGTGTTCTAAGAAATGTTTTAAATCAATTGGTTCATTTTCTTCCACTTTTATCCCACCTAAACACTTTTTAATCACTTTTTAATCCTCATTTACAAAAGTTAGATTGAATTCTACCTAATCCAACCTAATTAAGATTTTGGTTGCATTTGAATGACTAATCCCTTAGAAAAACCTCAAAATTATCCGAATTGATTTACATCCATTGTAAATTAATTTGCATATAAATTCTACCTCTTTTTTGTATTTTTGTTAAGCCATAATTCCAAAAAACTAAAACATAGTTTGCTTTCTGTCCAATTTCTAATTTTGCTTTTTCAATTTTTATTTAAAAAATACTAAAAAAATCCAAACATAATAATAATTTCTAAAAGTTAACTTTGGGATATTCAACATCATTTCCAAGTTGAATTTAATAGTTTCCTTCTATTTTAACATTTCCAACAAATTTACAATGGTTGATCTATTTTACATACATTTGGCTTGGTTGGCATTACTCACTCGATTATTCTACCAAATTATTTCCAAACACTCTCATTCACTCTATATCATTTCTAAACATCCTCTAAAACATTCTCCTAGAGCTTTACGTGAATATTTCCCCGGTCACATCACAAAGCTTCAAAAAGCATCATCAACTATCCAAAACGATAGTAATTGGAGAAATCCAAGAACTTCATGCTTTAAGAATTAAGAGAATCTATCATAAAATTGATAAATTTTCAACAAAATAAAGCTCCCCTTATGCAGCTTATAAAGCTTATTGCTGGACAAAGTATTATCAGAAGTTGAACTAACTGTAATTGTGAGCAAGAATGGAATGAAATAAAAAAAGGAATAAACATAAAACTTAAATTAATTCAAGAAGCAAGCCATACAGATAAAACAGGAAGAAATGATGCTTTTAATTAAGATTTCTAAGAAAGTGCTGCAACACTGAATACTTAATAAATAAAGAAAATTAAGGGGAAAAAAAAGAAAACAAAAGGCCTAGCTTATTTCACAAAAAAAAGAAACTTTGGCACTTAACATATCGGTCATTTAAAACCAGCAGAAGAGGCATTGGGAAAATCAACATGATAAAAGAAAAATAAAAATGAAAATCAACGTTTGGCGAGCAAAATCCGAGTGGATTTTCAAAAAAAAAAATCAATTAATCCATCTCATATTTGAGTTCTTAACCTGAAATCGGACTTTCCTTTGATCCCATCGGCAACATCTGATTCAGGAAATACTGTGTCATCAGTTGAAGGAGATGAATGTTGTGCTACGATGGGAACCGAATCTCTCAACAAAGAAGAAGAGCTGGAAACAAGTATCTTTCGGGAGCGTGAATTTGCGAGAACATTGGTGAGTGATTGAGAAGGAGGCCGCAGTGAAATAAGAGGCGGAACAGGAGGCCAAGGGAGGGGAAGACGAACGGTAGCCATTTGAGTGTACTCGAATAGGCTGGACGATAAGATATATATTATAGGCGGAAGTCCTTCTCTGCTGAAAATTTTAACGAAAGTAAAAAAAGATTTCTCCCAAAAAAAGGTAAATAAATGGAATGTTCTGCTGGGACTTAACGCCGGTTATCAGGTTACGGATGCAGTCCTGCTACGTAGAACGTAGAACACTAACATTGATGTGACAACAAATAATTAGATTCAGTCATACAAAGGTTAAGTATAAAGGGTTTGTATTTGTGGCCATTTTTATTATTACTTTACTTTTATTTATCCATATGAATCTCGATACATATTTGAATCGAAAATTTCAAAAATTAAATTTGGAAATGCCCACTTAAGTTTATGATCAAATGAAATATTTTATTGGGACAAATCAAATAACATAAAAAATGATCAGATGTAAGTTTAAGTGGACCCAAAAAATGAACTTAAAGCATAAAGAGAAGCTTTAGAATACATTTTAGGGGATCAAATGATCTTCAAATATAGCAAGCTTTAAATGAAAGTGAGTGTTTCGATGATATAAATCCAATGAACCTAAAATCGCTTAATTATGATGACATTAAGGCATTCAAATAGTCATAAAATTATTTGATCAAGGGAATTACTGTGTAGTCTTATGAAGTAGTCCAAATTCATGTAGTATTTACAGATGATGCCACTCTGAGAATCTATATATTGACATCCAGTTTGTTCATGAAAAGTGGAAACAGGAACTGGATGAGAGGATTGAAGGCACCACCGAACCACTGTCACCCGACCGTCGCCGCCTCCAGACAACAGTCATTTAACCGTCGCTGCCTCCAGCCAACCACCGTTAGGGCGCCACCATCACCCGACTACCTTTACCATTGGGTACCATAGTCATATATCTTATACCAACATCATCACTAGACGATGACCGCGCCACCATCACTTTGCCGACTTCGCGTCTTTGTCACCATGTCGAACTTCTAATGAAAGTTCATCGGTGTCATGCCAGATGACATGTCTAAAAATATTCTACTTTTATATACATATTTAATGTTTATTTTTAGTGATATTATGCTTTAATGTAAGATATTTTTATGTTTTTATTGCAGGTACAATAAGTTGAGGCAATTGGAGCTAAAAAAAATAAAAAGGAAGGAATTTGAAGTCAAGACAAGGTCATTTGTAAAAGTTGACTTGGCGCCAAAATCTTTCGCTTAAGCGTCGACTTACAAAAAGGGTGGCGCCTAAGCGCCAGAATTGAGTTCTTCCCAAATTCATTGGATTTGAACGAATTTTGAAAGGGTAACGCTTAGAAATTGGACCTAATATTATATGATAGTTATTTTATTAAAGAAAAGGGGGTGGACAAAGGAAGAGAAAAAGAGAGTAAGTGAAGAAGAGTGAAAGAGAAGATAGTCTCTTAGAGTTGTAAGAGGAGAGAGGAAGTGAGAGATTTCTTCTTCATTGCATTTCTAAGAGAGAATTGAGTGATATTATAAAGAGAGAAAATGATTCAAAGGAACTTCGAAGGAACTTCAAAGGATTTGCTTGGGGAGAAGATTAAGATAAGTAGTTTGTACTTTACTTGTTTTACTTGTTCTTATTGTGCAAACTTGTTTTTATATATACATCCAAATTTTGTTGTATCTTCCTCATGAGATCTGAATAGTTTACTTTGTATTTCTCCCCGCAATGAGAAATCATCATGCGAAGAATTGAAATTGTTTAAAAGTGCTTTAATTTCATGCTTTGTATTTCTCCCCGCAATAAGAAATCATCATGTGAAGAATTGAAATTGTTTGAAAGTGCTTTAATTTCATAATTACGATGATTCGAACGTCAAACTTCATTTACTTAATCAATCTAACCAATTGTAAAATTAAAATCTGTTGTGAAACATAATAATTCGAAAGGGCTATGCTTTTCTCAACTGAGAAAGAATCAAATTTGATCTCATGGATGAGAATGTAGTCCATGTGGTTAAGTGCAAATAAATAGGGAAATAAATTTTGATGGTCGTAAATTGGCGATTCTAGATTGACAGGCTAGAACCTCTAATTTGATCCAGAAGTTTGGAACCTAAGGCTAGATGTTAGCCTCCAGACAGAAAGATATTGATACACCAAAAAAAATATTCAATTTTACATATATATTTAAGGCTTATATTTGGTGATATTGCATTTTAAAGATAGATATTTTCATATTTTATTGCAAGTATACTAAGTCTAGGCATTTGGAGCTTAAATGATGCAAAAAAGACAAAATTTTGAGTCAAAATGGACATTTTAAAAAAATTAAACTGGTGCCTAGGCACAAGAACTGGCGCCTAGGCTCAAGAACTGGTACCTAGGTGCCGGAACTGGTGCCTAAGTGCCAAAATACAGGGAAGATGGCGCCAAGGCGCCAGATTTCGGCGCCTAGGCACCAGAGATAGTTATTTTCACAAATACATTGAATTTGGACTGATTTCGAAGAGGTGCCTATGGAGACTCTTAGGAAAATCATCCCTACATTATAAAAGAGTGTTTTTATGTAAAAAAAAGTGGTGTGAGTGAGGGAGGCTTGAGTATCAAAGTGTGGGAGAGTGTGGTAAGCATCTCTAAGAGTTGTAAGAGGAGAAGGAAAGTGAGAGATTTCTTCTTCTTTACATTTCTAAGAGAAATTTGAGTGTTATTATAAAGAGATAAAGAAATTCAAAGAAACTTCACGGGATTTTCTTGGGGAAGAGATCGATATAAGTTGTTTTACTTTTCTTTATTATTTTGTAAACTTATTTTTATACATATAATTCATGTTTTGTTGTATCTTCCTCATGAATTCTAAGTAGATTTCTTTGTCCTTATCCCTATAAAGAGAAATGGTCATGTGAAGAATCAAGATTGTTGTGCAATATTTTAATTCCATATATGTTATGATTCAAACTTCAAACTTCATTTGCTTTTCGTCATGAACAATTAAATTATTAAAATTTGTCGTGAAACATACGATCTGAGAGAGGTATGCTTTCTACAACAAAGTAAGAATCACATTCGATTTCATGGATGAGAATGTATTCCATGGGGTTGAGTGTAAATAAATAGAGAAATATTCATTGATATGTGTAGAATTAGAGAATGTGTAGAATTAGAGATTTTAATTAGAGATTTTAAGGTGACAGACTAAAATCCACAAATTGATCCAAGAGTTTGGAAGTTAAAGAGAGATGTTAGCCCTCAGGCGAGGGGAACATGGAAATTATGGAGTGAGAGCTAGCATCTTCCCAACCTAATCACGAATTTAGGGACTAAACACTAGATTAGCCAATGTTCTTTGTTGCTTGTAAAAAGGATAAAGAATATAATTGCTCCTATTTAACACAATACAATTTTCTTCAATTTGATAATTCACTGACTATAATCTAATTGTAAGGGGAAGGATGCTTTCTTAAATTTGCACTCTTCGTTAGAAAACCTAGTTTAGTTTTTAGTAAATTTAACTTTGAAGTTTAGAGATTAGTGTAGTAAACATAGTTTCTTTAGTGGCATTAAACAAAAATCGACCTATTTTCTTACTTAAGTTTTCTATAGTTTAAATAATTTGCTTGTGTGTGTTTACCCTAAAAAATTTTCACCTCCCTATGGGATCAATACTTAGGACTCTAGTAGAGCCCTTTATTACCTGAGAGATATGTATACTTGCGTTTGCAACCTAGTGACGATACACTTTAATTCAATAGGAGTGGAAGCTTTAAATATTTTAAAAAAGAGAAAACTTATTATACTGAAGTAAATTTTATTATAATTAATCTGCATATTTTTTAGTATAGGTGCCTTATGTGTTGTGGTGTTGAAAAACATTTATAACGCACAAAAAATTACGTAAATTGATACTCTTTCACTAAGATATCTTCTATAACTCCTTTAGGGTATGTTATTGAACAATCTGCTAGCTACAGAGTTACAGTAGTAGGGGATATTTCTCATAATCTCAATCTTTTAAATATTGATAATGGCATAAGGTTGATTTTTTTTCCTAAATCACATAAATCATTCCCATAAAATTTGTCTCCTATTGCACATGGATTTGTAAAGCTACCAGGATCTTTAAGCTTTTCAGGAAGCTTTTTTCTGAATTATACCACTGCACTCCTCACTAAGTGTAACAGTCTAGTTATCTTCAAACTTCCTTTTTCTATTAAGAATATCCTTCATAAACATTACATAACTTGACATTTGTTCTAGAGCTTCAGCAAATGGAATATTAATTGTAAGCTTCTTAAAAATTTTTAGAAGTTTTAAAAATTGCTTATCCAACTTTTGTTGTTGAAGCTCTGAGGAAACGAAGGTGGTGGTTTTTTTAAACTAACTTTAAGTGGAGAAATATGCCTTTCTAAACTTTTTGGAGTGTCCTCTTAAAGTTCGTCAATCTCTTCTCTCTCTACTTCAGTCTCTTTTTGAACTCTACCTTCCAATTATCTTTCGCTTCTGAGTTGAACGAATTTACTTGCTCTTTATTCTAGTCTTTTAGATTTACTTTTGTATTACTAGGAAGTGTTCTTAGGATCTGTTACTTAATGAATTTACTATTTGTCCCAACTAATTCTCAATATTTATAATTGTAGCTCCTTGACTTTGTAATTGATTTCCCATTTGTAACATCACTTCTTCTATAGACAATTTCTTCTCCTTAATCTGTGTTTCTTCTCATAGACAATTTCTTCTCCTTAATCTGTGGATTACTGTTAAAACCTGGAGGATACGTACATCTATAATTACTATTCCCTTAGTTTTTCCAGTTTCACAATGGGTTTACTTAAATGTTCCCCCATTATTGATTACTACCACCCAAAGTATTATTCCAGTTAAAGTTAGGATGGTTCTTCCAACTTGGGTTATAATAATTTGAATATGGGTTAATCTGCTTGTTGTTTGTTGCATTCAAAGTCCTTAATGATGTTTGATAATCTACCATTTAGTCTAATGAATTCTCTTAAATCATGGAAATTTGTTGAGAAAAATTCATTCCAAATTGGTCTAACTTCCTTGAAATTATAGCAACTTGATTTGCTAACAGGGCAAAAGCATTAGTTTCAT